TACCTGTACCTGGAAAATACAAAAGTTCCGGTAAAACTATTTCCGCACCTAATTATCATATTTCTCCCAGTCTAGCTATTTTCTGCTGACAATAACAGTGTCACATTTCAGCTGAGAATTGAACTTACTGCTATTATAACAGAGATTGCAACGAAGAAATCCAATTAATGAAGTGCATTTTCTAGTGGCTTGGGTCAATACCCTTCAAAACTTCTAGCCAGCAAAGTGCTTTGTTGGGTCCGAAAGTTGAATTGACGACGACGAAGACTGGGAAGTTGAAGTGACGCAGAAGAATAAGCAGATTTATCCATCACACGAGATTAGCCAACGAACGAACAACAAACCAACAAAAGCAGGGGTATTTATACAGGGAGTAAAGCACAATAAAAAACACTAAACGTCGCAATCCGATATATATGGAATCACAAAGAAAATTACAGAACATTCTGCAGAACAATCAATAATGGAGATCTCCCTAGAACTTTCGAAGATCATGATCAAAGATCGAGGTCTCAACATGCCTCATCGCGGTCCAGAAGTGGCAACGTTCAAGAAAAAGTTATGTTGTTAATGCATGTCACTGACAGTTCGAAACGACTAAAACCTTGCCAAAGTGCTTCTGTCGGGAGAATCTTTCAACAAGTGATCCCTAAAGAAGAAAAACCCGACGCTAGGACTGCCAGCAGATTGAACCCCCAGGCAATACAGCACTGGTCAAAATAACTGGAGTAGTCAGCTTGAGAATTTTAACAACACCGAAGATTTTCAAACTGTCGAAACAGAACGGCCGTAGCACCTCTTCAACACCAATATTTTGCAAGCAATAACGTAAAGATGTGAATGTGGTTAATAACGAAAGCAGAAGAGCTAACGCTGACTATGATGGAGGTAACGGTGGAGCGAAGGATGCTTGGAGTGTCTCTTCGTGACTGTATAAGTAATCAGACTCTCCGTCAGATGAGCAATATGCAAAACCATCATTGCGACCACGCGAGAAAGTGAAATCCGATGGGCAAAAATGTTTCTTGTTTTGTTGTCAACCAGTAGTCGTCCCGTACTAATGTTTGGTACCGCAAGACAGTAGACGATCATTTGAACGACTCAAAAAGTGCACAGAAATCGGATAAACGGTGCTTCCTAACTGGTAGTATATCTGGTACGACTGCGTCCAACGTGCAGGAGCACCTCAGCAACAACAATAATATCGGTTATCTACAGCTACCGTCCAAGAAATTTCCCGGTAAAATATGTGTGCATGGTTATGCGCTGTGTAAAAAAAAAGATGGAAAATGGCCGTCTGGGGTCGTATTCTTAACATTTACTCAAAGCAGAAAAGGAATTTTTCTACAAACTTGATTGGTATCCTGCGATCTTCCTGGACGATTGACCGTTCCAGCACCACCCATACCAGCACCAAAATATGCAACAAATGATTTTTCGCGATCACGCAGAGCCAGTTGCGCCTGACTTTTCGGTAAGCTGTTCACTCCGGATGGATACTGCAAACATCTTTACATATTGGGAGAAAATAACCAAAAAATCCCAAGGTACAATTGCGTGGAAACAATCACACACATACACACAAATATGCAGTGGCACCACGAAAACTGCAGTGCATCCCCAGTGAAACCCTTGGCAGTCCCGAAGTGCAATCCTGCCCTAGCCAAAATACTGTGAAACTGTCACTGAAAAAGGCAATTCTTCCAATGTTTTACTATCAGTCATGTTCTCTGTGGTTATTCCCTCAGGTGGGTTTGTTCAGTGCTGTACAAAATCATGCCCATGCCCTATTCGATGAATGGCTGGAATACGAAGTTTGAATATAAAGATAACTATCTTTCACGCATTCTGTACCTGAAAGCTTGCATATACAGAAGAACTACAGCCTCCCAATTTTTCAGGTTGCTGATCTGAAGATTGGTTTCTGCGCAAACACACATCAACAACTTTTTTGTGCATCTTAAAAGCAAACAGTTTTACAAATTGCTCGTGCCAGAATGATTCTGCTTTGCCAAAACTTTTACATTATGTCATTAAGCCTAGCTTTTAATCACCTTCCGTAAGGTATCGAGAGTTCCCACAACCTACGGTTGTTTCCTATTCCAGCTTCACATGTTTCTTTGTCTGGTACACACATTGCTCGACCTGTGTTTACAGCTAAGGGATGAAACACAGACTAACTATATCGTAAAATGTCCTTTGGCATATGACACTTAAGACCAATCTTTCCATTCTGCTATTTTTTACAGAAGTAACTTCCAGAACACCCCCTGACTGTCATAATCACTGTGGAGTATTGTGGCAGGAAGGAACGTCAGGAAGAGCAACGACTGGTCATCAAAGCAAATATGATGATCTATCTACCACTCTCTAAGAAAAAAACGATGAAAACAGATGAAGTGCCATACGATCTGACCACAACAACCAAAGAAAGCAGCCGCTAAATGACCAGTGGCAGGAATGAAGGTGTATCGGATGCTCCGGGCCTCCACTTGTTTAGTGAGCTGCTTTCAATTCTTACTTTTCGTTCACAGCCAGGAGCCCTAGGTGCACGAAAAAGAAACAGAAAAGAGCACAAAATCGAAATTAAAGAACAGCTGAGTGCACGAGCAACAACCACCATACGCGCCACACCGCATCGCAGAAATAAAAAAAACTCACGTAAAAGCTTCCAAACAGCGAAGTAATCTGTGGAAAAAATAAGCCGAAAAAATAATATATTTGGGTTGAAACAAAGAAGCAACGTAAATTTGTTGAAGCCGCTTTTATTAGTGATTAAAAAAGCAACAAAAGCTGATAAAAAAAGTTAATTTCCCGATGCTGAGACCTGAAACTTTGTACCATTGCTGAGCGAATAAGCTTAGAAGATCTAGGCCAAAATCTGGTCGCTTTATTTGTCAGCACAGCAGCAACTATGTGACTCAATAATTTCATGGATTCCGAGCTATCCCCTGAACCTTACTGGAGGAGAGGAGAGTGGAGGGGCCAGAGGCCA